CGCCCCCTGCACAGAGGACCGGTGTGTCCACACCCCCAGCTGAAGCCGGGCCCGCCCTGGCACATGTGTTGACTGACTAAACGAGCGCTCCGCCCAGGGCAAGGCCGGAAGACCCCTTGCCGGCCTCCCAGACCCGGAGTCGGCTACAGAGCGGTGCCTGAGGCGCAGCCCTTCTGCGAGGACGATCCCCGCCGGCACCCGGTCCGCACGGGACACAGCCGGCCAAGCATGCACTCCGCTGTCTCATGGCCCCCAGATGGGCCTCCGGACAGGCCTGTGGTCACCCCCCAGCCGAGGACGCGGCTGAGGCGGCCAGGGGTCCTGTCCAAGGCCGCCGGCCAGCGAGCGCGCAGTTGCCGGCTGCGGCCGCCAGGGGGCAGCAGCGCCTCAGGCCGGCCGGGGCCGGGGCGTCCCCGCTGTGGCCCAGACGGCGCTCCACCCGGTCACCCTGACCGCGCCGACCCGGCGCGGCCAGCGCAACGGGGCAGGCTCCCAGGCCCGACGGCGAGCGGCCAGGAGGCCTGGTTTCGGGTGTGTGACGTGGCAGCGGTGTTTCCGGGTGGGCGCCCGCCAGCCTCCGACGCCCCCCGGCCACAGCATTAAGCCCGCGGCCCAGCCACCCTCTCTCTGCGCCCCTGCCCCGAGAGGCAGGACGCGGCAGCCCAGGCCCTGCCCCGGGCCACCCGCCCGCCAGCAGGCCCAGCCCGGGAACGCAGCTGTGCAGCGTGACCGTCTGCTCCCGAAGGACTGGCCAGTGCTGGGCCAGAGGTCACAGGGTTCACTCGGCATTGCTGAGCGCCAGCTGCGTGCCCCACGCGGGGCCGCGGGAGGAGCCGGGCTGCCCCCCACTCAGAGCCACCTCTGCTCCGGAAGCCCCGCGTGGAGCGGTCAGGACTCCAGTGCTGCCCACCCCGGGGGTGGCACACGGGAGCCGACTCCCCGGGTGACTGTCCCTGAGGGGGCAAGCAGTGGGCAGCTTCTCATCAAGCTCAACACGCACGTCCCATGTGACCCCGGGAGACGTGAAAACACAACCGAGACGAAAACACGCTCACGTGTCTTCAGCAGCTTCACTCGTCCGCGTCTCACACGACTCGACAGACGCCCCTCAGCTGGGGACCAGCTGGTCCCCCAACCCTGGGCGCTGCCCACCAGGGATGCTGCCGGTCGGACGTGGACGCGGGGCGCCAGGAGCGGCCGTCTGTGAGCGGCGGGGCGCGCGGACGCGGGGCGCCGGGAGCAGCATCTGTGAGCAGCGTGGCACGCGGACGCGGGGCGCCGGGAGTGGCCGTCTGTGAGCAGAGGGGCGCGCGGGCAGAGACGGGGGTGGGGGTGGGGGGTCGTGTTCCCCACTGGCAGACCTCTCCCTCAGGGTGTAAACCACATGTTAGCCTTTACAAACTGCAGCAGGGACCGCCCGGCCTTCCTCCAAGGAGACAGGCCTGCTGGGGCCCAGGCCAGGATTCTGCGCACAGAGCCGCACTGGGGGGTAGATGGGTCCCCACGTGGTGACTTCTGTCTGGGGGGCCAAGGTGCAGGGGGGCCCCAGGCAGGAGGCACTCAGGACAGCCGCCTCACCGCCTTCCCAGGAGGGCCAGGACCGGGTTTCTAGGTTCCGTGCCCCGAAGGTCAGCGTGGGAGTTCAGGCCTCTACCACCTGGGCCCCAGGCCGCTTCAGCCAGAAGGGGAAAGGCGGGAGGCGGGCCCCCTCGTGGGGCACTCTGGGAGCGTTCCAGGCTTCGGGAACCACATGTAGGGCGTCTGCTCCTGGGTGTGGACACACGTGTGAACCTGAGAACTGCATGCGACTGGGCTATCTGAGCCCAGACTGAGCACACACACATGAACATGTGTGGTTTGTGGCTACACGCACTGCGGGAACACGTGTGAACATGTGGATGCACATGAATGTGCATGCAGCTGTGCATGGCCACGCATGTGAGCCCCGTGTGAACACACGCAGGCTGTGTCCGGGTGCTACAGACTCACTATCCTTGCATGTTTTCGCCCCACCAGGGCCGCCTCAGCCCATGTGCCCCCCACACCACATCACTGCATGCTGCCCCAGCAATGGTGCACCCCACACGCGGCCCCGGGCCCCTCTGCCTCTGAGGGGATAGACCCCACGCACGGCCACAGGCTCCATGGTCTCTGAGGGGATGGACCTCACACACGGCCCCGGCCCCCCCCGGTCTCTGAGGGATGGACCCGAGAGGCTGGGCCAGTTGGGCCACGGCATGAAGCACTGGGTGTGGGTGACGGGCGGTCCTCGGGACAACAGGAGCCCTGTTGCCTGTGAAAGGCGGCCTTTGAGGCTCGGTACAGGCGGGGACGGTCTGGGGACGGCGCCAGGAGCGGCCGGTTCCTGGGGTCAGCCGGCCGAGGGGCCTGTGGGTGGCGGGAGGCGCAGCCTGGCCCGGGCGCCACGTATCTCTGCCGCGTTATCTCGGGGCAAGCGCCTCCCGCACCCTGACCTTGGCCGAGGGCAGCGTGGGCAGCACCTGCTGTCTTGCTGCTGCAACAGCAGAGCCATTGAACTGGGCTGGCGCCTGCAGTCCCGCCCACGGCCGCGGCCACACGCTGGTGGGCCCGGCCTGACGGGGGCACATCAGCACCCCCGGGCGAGCCAACCCTGACCCGGGAGGTCACCCCTGCCCCTCTGTCCTCACGGACACCTCGTCCACAGTGGCTTCTGGGCGGGATGGTGCCCCCGCCCCTCGTGGTTGAGTCCCTGGATGCTGGGACGTGCGGCGTCCACCCGCTGCAGACCCCGCGACGCCACGCTGCTGCTCAGGCTGCCCGGCTCAGCCCACGCACCCTCCCTCCGGGCCGCGGGCCTCCTTCCCGGCGGCCGTGGGTGTGTCAGCCCCCCATGAATGTGAGAGGCCCCCAGGAACCCTGGCGCTCCTCGCGGGGGCTGTGCCTTGAGGGGGCTGACCAGCCAGGGCAGCTGCTCCACCGCCCTGGACGGGGGCACGGGGAGGTGCGGGTGGGGCCGAGGGCAGGAGATGGGGGCTGGGGGCCTAGCCCTCTCCATCCGGGCACAGCGCAGGCAGGGCTCCAGTCTCAGGGTCTCCGGCCAGCTAGGTGGGCAGCGGGAGCAGTGCCCCGAGTGTCCCTGGCCACCACCCTCTCCCCGGGAGGCCTGGGAAGGCAGGTGGGGAAGGGGCAGCCCCACCATGACCACAAGACAGGCCACTCAGGGCAGTGCTGGGCACCTCTGGATCCCCAGGGCATGTCCCTACAGTACCCTGAGGGGGCCTCGCCCCAAGGGTGCTTGCAGAGGGCTGTCATGGGGTCCTGCATACCCAGGACACTTCCTGAGAATCTCAGGGCACCCTGGACTTCGCTGGGTGAGGGGGGTGGGTGACCACAGGCTTCGATTCCCAGGGCTCGAGGCGGCGGCATTTACCCTCAGGGGGTGGTGGCTTTGAATAAATGAGAAGAAAGCCTGGCCAGGGGTCGCTGCCCTGAGCCCGGGGGCAGAGACGCAGCCAAGGCCAGGGCCTCCCTACTCAGGGCCGAGTGCTCAGGAAAGGGGGCGGCCTCCCGCAGAGGAGCTGACGCCCAGTGGGGCCAGCACTGTCCCCTGCGAGGCCTGCACCGTGCCCGGCGGGCCATGGCAACTGCCCCCGCTGCAGTGCCCCTGGGGCCAGCTGAGCCTGCCCGCCTCACGTGGCCCCGAGCGGGGCTGGCCTTCTGCTGCCCCCACGCCACAGACGGCCCCACACGCCTGACACCGAACAGGAGATGAGGGCGCCTCCGCAGGCCGACCCGGCCGCCCGCACCTCACCCCACCACACGCACCCCGCAGGCCCGCGTCCAGCGCCCTGCGGTCCGGGGGATGTTTCAGGAGAAGGATGGCAGCAGCATCGGGGGACCCCAGGACCGGGGGGTCTGAAACAAGGGGCCCCAGGCCCTGCACCCAGCGGCACCTGCAGACGCCCCTGACGGAGGGTCGACGTGCTGCTGCCGCAGGAGACTCCGGAGCGGGGCTGGCTCGCGCACCCCCGAGCCCTGGAACTGGGCCCCCTGAGCAGTCGGGACCAGAGCGGAGGCCCCTCCCTCACCCGGTGGAAGTGGGGCCCGACGGCCTTTCCAGCCAGGCGGGAAGTCTGGAGCTGCTGCAGAGAAGCCTCCTCTGGGGGGCTGGTGCCACCCGAGGTGGAACCGGGGAAGACAGGCCACGTCCTCAGGGCACTGACCGCTGACTGAGCCCTGGGGTCAGGCTGGGCCTGGAGCCAGCGCCACTGCGAGCACACCCTCCTCTCTGCCTGATGCCCGCTGGGTTGGACCCCCACAGCCAGAGGTCCTGATGCAGGAACAGACGACACCCTGCCTCTGGCTCTGAACCGAGGTCACACGCCATACGCTCCAGACCCCTGAGGTGTTCGTACCTGGGAGACAGGAGCAGGCTGTGGGGTGAGCGTCCCGGGGCCCCAGAGCAGGGCCGGGTCTCAGGCAGGATGAGTGTGGGAGTGCTGGGGCTGAACAGGCACCTGTGCCCACAAGCTCGTGGCTTTCAGGGGTGGATGGTAATTGAACCAAGGCCACAACCCAGTCCTGCGACCGCCTGCCAGGTAGGAGCAGGGCGCACGCAGAGCCCCGCGGCCGACAGGGGCCGGTCCCACCTGTGTCTGATCACCGCAGAAGCAGAAGCCCCTGTGCTGACTGAGCCCCCGGGGCCTGGCCCACCCTCTGCAGGCCCACCTGGGCCCAGGCCTGTCCTCACCCCTGCGGACAGCTCCGCCCACCCTGCAGGGGCAAAGACAGCCCCCAGGGGCCCAGAGGGCCCCGGGCAGCCCCACCCTCGGCCAGGGTTCAGGGCGGAGCTGTGAGCAGCTGTAGGGCCCTTGCGGCCAGGTCAGCCAGCCGGTGCCTACAGCCGGTGGATGGACACGGGCTCAAACACTGAAGCGGCTGCCCAGGTTGCTCAGGGTCCTGCTCCGGTTCTGGGGGGCGGGGGGCGGGGCAGGACGCCCAGGTGTGGGCGGCCTCACCTGCAGAGTAGGGCTCCTGCCGCTCGGGGTGGGTGAACTCCTGTCGCTCGTACTTGGCCCGGATCCACTGCTCCCGCAGGAGTCTGAGGAGAGAGGGCACGTGTTGGGCGATGCCTGGCCAGAGCTGCCCGGGTGAACTTCTGATGGGCAGGTGGGCCGGGCACACCCACTGAGGGGGGCACCCCAGACTGCCAGGCTGCCAGGAGCAGGGGGCCCCCCTGGCCCACTGACGCGGGGCACAGGAGGGGCCGGCCCGACCTCCCGCAGCCCGAGGCCAGGCACCAGGAGCACGGGAAGGCAGCGGGTCCCGGCCGCTCTCGTCACGGGCTTGCTGCTGGAGCTGACGTGTCCCCGGGGCCCGGTCCTCCCTCTGCCCAGGGGGCGGGGCTGGGCCCAGTGTCCAGAGATCCCACTCGGGTCAGACCCCAGCCTCCTGACTCACCACCTCACTTCATCCCAGCGGCACCCCAGAGCCTTTGCCTGTGGGAGGCTATTGCAGCCCCTGCACTAAGTGGGCCTAGCTGGAGGTGCACTCCACACTGTACACGGGCATTCACACATCCCTTCCACCTCTGCATGGCACTCCACACTGTACACGGGTATTCACACGTCCCTTCCACCTCTGCATGGCACTCCACACTGTACACGGGTATTCACACGTCCCTTCCACCTCTGCATGGCACTCCACACTGTACATGGGTATTCACACGTCCCTTCCACCTCTGCATGGCACTCCACACTGTACACGGGTATTCACACGTCCCTTCCACCTCTGCATGGCACTCCACAGTGTACACAGACATTCACACATCCCTTCCACCTCTGCATGGCACTCCACACTGTACACGGGTATTCACACGTCCCTTCCACCTCTGCATGGCACTCCACAGTGTACACAGACATTCACACATCCCTTCCACCTCTGCATGGCACTCCACACTGTACACGGGTATTCACACATCCCTTCCACCTCTGCATGGCACTCCACACTGTACATGGGTATTCACACGTCCCTTCCACCTCTGCATGGCACTCCACACGGTACATGGGTATTCACACGTCCCTTCCACCTCTGCATGGCACTCCACACTGTACACAGGTATTCACACGTCCCTTCCACCTCTGCATGGCACTCCACACTGTACACGGGTATTCACACGTCCCTTCCACCTCTGCATGGCACTCCACACGGTACATGGGTATTCACACGTCCCTTCCACCTCTGCATGGCACTCCACACTGTACACGGGTATTCACACGTCCCTTCCACCTCTGCATGGCACTCCACAGTGTACACAGACATTCACACATCCCTTCCACCTCTGCATGGTACTCCAGTGTACACGGGCATTCACACGTCCCTTCCACCTCAGCATGGTACTCCAGTGTACACGGGCATTCACACGTCCCTTCCACCTCAGCATGGCACTCCACACTGTACACGGGTATTCACACATCCCTTCCACCTCTGCATGGCACTCCACAGTGTACACAGACATTCACACATCCCTTCCACCTCAGCATGGTACTCCAGTGTACACGGGCATTCACACGTCCCTTCCACCTCAGCATGGTACTCCAATGTACACGGGCATTCACACGTCCCTTCCACCTCTGCATGGCACTCCACACTGTACACAGACATTCACACGTCCCTTCCACCTCTGCATGGTACTCCAGTGTACACGGGCATTCACACATCCCTTCCACCTCAGCATGGTACTCCAGTGTACACGGGCATTCACACATCCCTTCCACCTCTGCATGGCACTCCACACTGTACACGGGTATTCACACGTCCCTTCCACCTCTGCATGGCACTCCACACTGTACATGGGTATTCACACATCCCTTCCACCTCTGCATGGCACTCCACAGTGTACACAGACATTCACACGTCCCTTCCACCTCTGCATGGTACTCCAGTGTACACGGGCCTTCACACGTCCCTTCCACCTCAGCATGGTACTCCAGTGTACACAGGCATTCACATGTCCCTTCCACCTCTGCATGGCACTCCACAGTGTACACGGGCATTCACACATCCCTTCCACCCCTGCATGGCACGCCAGTGTACATGGGCATTCACACACCCCTCCCACCCCTGCATGGCATGCCAGTGTACACGGGCATTCACACGTCCCTTCCACACCTGCATGGCACTCCACAGTGTACATGGGCATTCACACGTCCCTTCCACCTCTGCATGGCACTCCACAGTGTACACGGGCATTCACACGTCCCTTCCACACCGGCATGGCACTCCACAGTGTACACGGGCATTCACACCCCCTCCACTGCTGCATGGTCTCCACGGTGAGCTCGGCTATCAGCCCCACACCCTCCTGGTCTCATGGCTGCCAGGTCAGATTTCCTTGTTGATACCGGCCCAGTGAGGGGCCTCTCCCAGGACCCCACCCCTCCCAGCAGACCCAAGCACCTGAGTCTGGGGAGTGGAGTGGGCTTGGCTTCTGTGAGCCCTTCCCCCAGCAGAGGTTTCCGGAAAGTGGGGCCCACTGGGATCCAGAGCACCCTCCCACTGGGGCCGCCAGGTCACCCGAGAGGCCCTGACCACACAGCCCTGCCGGGGGCACCTCGCAGGGACCAGGCCTGTGGGAGCCTGTCCGTGGCGCCGGCTCAGGCGGTGGGCCAACCGCAGGGCAGCGTGCGGACGCGAGGCCGTCAGGCCGCAGAATAGCTGCTGACCTGTGAATTCACAGCCGGGCAGAGCGGCCGGGCGTGGGGCGCCAGGAGGGGTGGGGCCGGGCAAGGGGCCTGCCCACGAGGGCTTGAAGGGCGGGACGCAGCGTGCAGAGGGAGGTCAGCCTTGGCTCCCCACCTGTCTAGTGGGGTCTGAACTGGCCCGCCTCCCAGGCTTGCAGCTGGGTCACCGCTCCCAGCCCCTCCGTGGAGGCCGGCAGCCCCCTCGTCTCCCACCCCTCATTTGAGCAGAACTAGAAACACACAAGCCCGGCATGCAGCCCGGGTCCAGGTGTCGTGGGCAGGGTCCCCGGGGTGTGGGCTTCACCAAGTGAGTCGGGGGCAACAGTGCGGGGCAAAGAGGAGGAGGCGCCGCCCGGCGGTGGGGGCCTGGGAGGAGGCTGGGCTGCGGCCCCACCGTCCGTCCCAAGGAAGGGATGGTTCAGGAGGAGCCTCATCACACGGCCCTCCTCTCCAAGCAGCAGGAGCGGCGTGCGGGCAGCGGGAGGTGGACGAGGAGGCCGATCGGGGGCGGTTAGAAGTGCTGGGGCAGAGCGCCGCCGCGGGCGTGCCGAGGGTGCGGCTCGTGAGACAGGCAGTCCCCAGGAAGCACCTGAGACCCCTGGTGGGCACCTCCCGCTGGTGCTGAGCCCGACATGGAGGCCTCCCCCAGGGGCTGGGGTCCCAACCTCACCCCAGGCACCTCCCCTGACCTCTGGAACCTTCCAGAACCCAGGGGTGCCCGCGGGGTGGGCAGACAGGGACACTGAGGCTCAGAGAGGCTGGCGACTGGGGTCGTGTGGGGTCGTGCCCCCAACCCTCCCGCGTCCATGCCCTGGGCACCGAGCCAGGCCGGCCACATGCTGGAGCAGCCGCCCAACAAGCCCTCCAGAGGGCCGGGGGTGCCATGAGGACCCCAGAACCCAGGCTGGGGTTCCCGCAGAGACCTGCGCCGCCTGGAGCCCAGGCCGGCTGTCCCCACGCTGCCCACCACCGCCACCACACCAGGAACCAAAACCAAGCGGGAGAGCCCCAGGACAGGACTCCCGGACATGGGCCGGCCCACCCTCCCGCCTGCAGTCGCCCAGAGCCGTCTCCGGAGCGCGGCCAGCTGCGGACCAGCGACGCAGACGGGCCCTTCATACTCACTGGCAGTCGGAGGCCGAGGGCCGGTAGTAGAACGGGGGCACTTGGGACTCGAACGTGGCTCTGGCGACGGCGTTCCCGCGGGAGGCCAAGAACTGCAAGGGGGACAGTGTCAGGGCCCAGCCCACAGCTGACCCCACCGGTCCTGGTTCACGGAGGCCAGACAGGCCCAGAAGAGGCCCAGGGGCTGTGGGGCGGCCGGGCTGCAGAGACAGGCAGGGGGCTGAGTGCAGAGAACAAGCCTGCGGGGCGCGGACGGGCTGCCCTGCGGTGGGGGCGACGGGGGTCTCTGGAGCAGCCAGTGTGCGGGGTGTCTGGGCACGGAAATAGCACGAGCGACAGCCCTGAGGTGGAGCAAGCTGGGTGAGTCGGAGGGAGGCCCTTGGTGTCGGGGGCGGGGGCGGGGCTTCCCGCAGGACTCAAGGGCTGGGAAGGGCGTGGGTCCTGGGGCTCCAAGCCCGTCCGGCCAAGGGTGCGAAGGATGACCGGGAAGAGCACAAACGATGAGACCCTTCACAAAGGCTGGGAGCGACGTGGGATCCTCAAAGCAGAGGCTGCTCCACGCAGAGCGCCATCTGGTCAGAGGCCTGACGGGAGAGGAAGCCGGCTGAGGACAGCAGCCAGCCCATCATCGCTAAGGACCAGCGGGACGAGGGCCCTTCAGTCTCTACAGAGAAACTTCCATGCGCCCCCAGGAGCAGAAGACACTGAACAAAGTCAGGCCACGCTCCAGGTGAGGGGGACAGAAAGCACGCAGTCTCCTTTGTTCATCTATGTTTAGCAATTCGAAAAAAAGAAAACCAGGAATAGAATTTTCAAGAGCTAGAATGATTCTAAAGTTCATTTGAAAGTTAACAAGCAGAAGAAAATTGTGAGAAGGAAGACGCTTCCTCGCAGATATTAAAGCCTGTTATAAAGCTACTGAGTCAAATAGCGCCAACCAGAAAGCCTAAAAGGTCCAGAAGCAGATCCAACGGGATCTCATATCCAGTATCAGCAGGTTCAGCAGGACGAGCTGGTACACAGTAGTGGTAACGTCTCAGATCGATGGGTGCTGATAACCAATGAGAAACTGGAAACCGTCAGGGAAAAGGGGGTATGCCTTTCAGCAAAACAAAACTCCAGCTTCATGAGAGGCTGAATTTCCAAAGTCAAGCAATCAAAATAGTAGACGAAGGGAATTCCCTGGCAGTCCAGCTTCCAGTGGAGAAGGCAGTTAGATCCCTAGTCGGGGAACTAAGACCCTGTATACCACACGGCACAGCTAAAAAAAAAATAGATGAAAATCACAGGGTGATTTAAAACATGATTCAAGGAAAACATGGAAGGAAATCTTGAGGATTTGGGGTTGGGAATGGTTTCTTGGTCTCTGTCTGTGAAGTGTGCAAGTCGCTCGGTCGTGTCCAACTCTGTGCGACCCCGTGGACCATACAGTCTGTGGAATCCTCCAGGTCAAAATACTGGAGTGGGTAGCCTTTCCCTTCTCCAGGGGATCTTCCCAACCCAGGACTGAACTGGAGCCTCCCACATTGCAGGCGGATCCTTTACCAGCTGGGCCACCAGGGAAGCCCAAGAATATTGGAGTGGGTAGCCTGTCCCTTCTCCAGGGGGTCTTCCCAACCCAGGACTGAACTGGAGCCTCCCACATTGCAGGCGGATCCTTTACCAGCTGGGCCACCAGGGAAGCCCAAGAATATTGGAGCGGGTAGCCTGTCCCTTCTCCAGGGGGTCTTCCCAACCCAGGACTGAACTGGAGCCTCCCACATTGCAGGCGGATCCTTTACCAGCTGGGCCACCAGGGAAGCCCAAGAATACTGGAGTGGGTAGCCTGTCCCTTCTCCAGGGGATCTTCCCGACCCAGGAATCGAACCGGGGTCTCCTGCACTGCAGGTGATTCTTTACCAGCTGAGCCTCCAGGGAAGCCCTGAGGTCTCTCTCAGGTTTCTTAGAGGTGACACCAAAACCACAGGAACAAAAGAAAAAAAAAATCAACAGAACTTCACCAAAACTTAAAACTTCTGTGCTTCTAGGGACACCATCAGGAAAGGGAAAAGATGTATGAACCTTAAAAACATGAGGTTCCTGAGAAGCAGACTTCTCAGGTCCTGAGACACAGCTGAGGACCACGTTGGTGTGAAATGTTCCAGATGGGCGAATCCAGACAGGAGAGCCGCCTGGGGGTCTCAGGAGGGGGTCTCCCCTGAGGTGAGGACAACAGATGTCCTGGCAGCCGGAGGCAACGGCTGAACCGGGTTGTGAACGTGCTTTATCTGCTTTTCACTGCTGGGAGGCGGATGCGCAGTGTTGGTTTCAGGCGTGAGACCTGGTGCTGCGGCGCTCGTTCATGTCGTGAGACGCTGGGGGCCTGGGCTGCTGTCACCGCCCGGGACTTCTCTGTCCTAGGACGGGAGTCACGCCTCCGTCTCCCGTTCCCCACCCCTGCCCTCCAGCAACCGCTGTTTGTTCCCCGTGCCCATGTCTGTTTCTGTCTTTTTCAGATTCCATATGGGAGTGAGATCAGACCTACTCTCTTTCTGTGTCTGACAGGTTTCTCTTAGCATGAGACCCTCTAGGCCCACCCCTGTCGTCGCAGATTGTAAAATACCACTCTCCTGGCTCAGGGATATTCCATTGTATAAGTACACATCTTCCTTATCAAGTCACCTGTAGATGCTTCCACATCTTGGCCATTGTAACTCATGCTGCAGGGAACACGTGAGTACATGTATCTTTCTGATTAAAAATGTTCTCGTGGGATTGTCCCCACCAGGCTCCTCTGTCCATGGAATTCTCCAGGCCACAATACTGGAGCGGGCAGCCGTTCCCTTCTCCAGGGGACCTTCCCGACCCAGGAATCAAACCACTGCGGGTGTCTTCCTTACTGCCTGCGCCACCAGGGGAGCCCTCATTCTGGTGGGCCAGCTGGATCACATGGTAGGTCTCTCTTCCGTTTTCTGAGGAAACTCCACACTGTTCTCCACAGTGGCTGCACCAGTTCACATTCCCACCAGCAGTGCAGAAGGCACTCTTTTCTCCACATTTGTTATTTGTAGAATATTTTTTGTGTGTGTGGCCACATGGCATAGGGGATCTTAGTAGTACCCCCACCAGGGATGGAACCCATGCCCCCTCCTGCCCTGGAAGCGAGGGGTCTTAACCACTGGGCCCCCAGGCAAGTCCCTATTATTCGTAGCCTTCTTAATGAAGGCCACTCAGCACTGTGAGGTGGTCCCTCGGTGCAGTTCTGATTAACGCTGAGCGTCTTTTCATTCACCTGTTGACAAGCCGTATGTCTTCTTAGGGGAGTGTCTGTTCAGGTCCTCTGCCCATTTTTAATTGGATAATTTTTGTTTTTTTCTTTTTGATGCTGAGTTGTACGAGTTCTTTGTACATTCTGTGCAATAACCCTTTTAACACATGTATCATCCGCAAACATTTCTCCCGTTCAGTAAGTGGCCTTTTCATGTTGTTGATAGTTTTCTTTTTGTGCAAAAGCATTTTGGTTTGCTGCAGTCCCATTTGTTTATTTTTGCTTTTGTAGCCCAGCCTGAGGAGGCAGACCCAAAACCGACATTGCTAAGATCAACATCGAAGAGCTTGTGCTCTCTTCTACAAGTTGCATGGTTTTGGGTCTTAAACATTTAGGTCTTTGATTCCTTTTGATTCACTTTTTGTACATGGTGTGACACTGCACGGGCCATCCAGTCCTCCCAGCACCTTTCATAGAAGAGACTCTCCTTTCCCCACTGCACGTCCCTGCCTCTGGATTATTCACTTTTTAAACACTTATTTTACTGAAGTGTAGTTGATTTACAGCACTGCATTGATTTCTGATGTAAGGTAAGGGGGGCCTCGGCTATATGCACCTTACTCTCCTGGTGCTGAATAGAGCCCCCGAGCTGCACAGTAGGACCTTGTTTATCCATCCCACAGGTGCTAGTCTGCACGTGCTGCCCCGGGACTCCCCAGCCTTCCCCACTCCACCCACTCTGGGCGACCCCAAGTCTGTTCTCTGCGTCCATGAGTTTTGTAGATAGATTCATTTGTGTCATGTTTTAGATTCCGCAAGTAAGTGGTGTCAAAGGGTATTTTGTCTTTGTCTGACTTACTTTGCTTGGTAGGATAATCTCTAGGTTCATCGATGTAGCTGTAAATGGCGTTATTTTATTCTATTTTATGGCCAGATAATATTCCAGCATATATATGTACCACTTTGTTCACTTTAAAATGGATTTTATATGAATCACCCCTCAATGATTCAAAAAATTACATAGATAGCTCCTTAAAAATATAAACCATACTGTTTCATTTTAAAAATATCATTTCAAAAAGAAAGTTAAAATACAACCCACAGAATGAGAAGAATTACTTGCCAATACTGAATCTGATAAGGGATTTGTGTCCAGAATATATAAAGTGCTCTTAGTAATAAAGTCTGCTAACTCAGTAATAAAAAGACAACCCATTTTTAAATTGGGCAAAGGATCTGAATGAACTTGCTCCAAAGAAGATACACAAATGGCCAGGAAGCACATGGAACAGCGCTCAGCATCACTCAGCACCAGGGAGATGGGGCCGACACCACCAGGAGACGCCCCGCACGCCCCGCATGCCCCGCAGGAGGGTGAGGAGGGGCTGCAGTCCTCGCACGTTGCCGGCGGGCCAGGCCCCTGTGGTGGGCAAAGCCAGCCGACCCTCAGACGTCAGGCAGCGCCGCGCCCTCCCAGAGCGCTGAGGGCACAGAACTGCTCTGAAGCCCGCTGTTCGAAGGCCTCAGAAAACGAGACAACCCAGGTGTGCAGCTGGTGAAAGTGGACAAGCTGTGGTCCACCCACGCGACCACGTGAACTTGGCCGTGACAAGAAGTCAAGCGCTGACACCCCGACGGCAGGGATGAGTCTAGAAACTGAGGCTCAGCCAGAGGAGGGAGAGGCCTGGGACCACACGGGTGAGGCCACCGACACGCAGTGTCGAGGACAGACGGCCCCCCCCGAGGGCAAGCGGGGGCCCTCTCTCGGCAGGGCCCGGGGCGGGGGGCCGGGGAGGGCCCCCGTGGGTGTGGGCTCATTTGAGGATATGAAAACATTCTCAAATTAGATCATGGCGATGGTCACACAGCCCTGAGAATTCGCGAAAACCACCAAGCTGTAGACGTTAGAAGACTGAGGGGTGCGGTGTGTGAACGACAGAGGCCAAGCACCTCTGAGTAAAAATAATCGCGGGTGAGGCGGCCCGTCTCGGTGTGCCGTAAACCCTGAAACCACAAGAGGCAAGGCTGATAAGCTTGGTCACTTCAAAATCTGAAAGTTTCCACCGTGAAAACCGCCACGAGCAAAGTCAGGACAACCTCCGAGAAACATCCCCACCTATTGTCTCTGAGGGCCATGAACCCACCTCTGTGAAACCCCCACAAAACGAAAGCAAGCAGCCCGGCCCAGGGCCCCAGAGGTCACACCTGGTTCTGCCACATTCCCGAGGCGGGGGAGGGCCAGGAGGGAAGGGTCTGCAGGAGTGCGGGTGCCAGGCAGAGGCCAGCGGGCGTGGCCTCGAGGGGAAGCTGGGCAGAATCCTTAAAGTCACAGTCAGAGCCTTCCAACTTCCCCTCCAGGAACGGAGGCCGCCGGGACGATGAGTCCATGGGGCTGTCCGCTGGCCCAGGGGTCGTCTGGGAAGGACGCCACCCCCAAGCCCGGGAGCACAGCGAACCTCAGCAGGGCCCCCGCGCCCCCAGAGCCGTGCACGCAGACATGACCCGGGCCCAGCCGCATGGTGGGTGTCCCCAGCCCCATAACGGGGGGGAGAACATGTGCAGGGGCTCAGGCCTGGTGCAGGGTGGCGCGGAGGGCCGGGTTCCGTCTGAAGTGAGGGGAATGTCCTAGAGCTGACGATGGGGACATCTGCAGGACCCGGCGAATGTGCCAGACACCACTGAGGTGCACTTAAAAGAGCGAGTTATACAACTTGTGAGTCACATTTCAATAAAGCTGCTTTCAAGCATGTGCTATAGAAAAATACAAACCTCAGGGAAACACGTGAAAAGACAGAAACAAAGCACCGACAAGGGTCTCCGCGTCCAGCTCTCCACACCCTGGGCCTCCCGGGAGCCGGCCTGGCTCGTGCCCGCCGGCCGAGGACTCGGGGCCGGGTCCAGCAGCCCCGTCCACAGCCACCGGGCCCCCGGGTGGGGGTCCGGCACGCTGCAGGTCCAGCCCCGCTGGCCCCTCGGGGTCACGATGGGAGCAGACGAGCAGACAGCAGAAGGGGCTGAAGCCCCTCACCCCCAGCCCAGCCCAGCCTCTCTGGGCCTCCCTGTCCCTCCCCGCTCACGAGGCGCATGCGCTGCTGGCTTGGGTCAAGGCAGCCTCACCCTGCTGCCTGGCCCTGGCGTGAGGGTGCTTCCAGCCACGTGGTGTGTGTCCACATACACAGCGCGGTCTCGCTAGGGTACGTGCGGACTCTGAGTTGGCACGGAGGCCAGGGTGGGCCCGGGACTCTGGGTGGGTGGACAGCAGGTGAAGGCCTTGACATCTGTCACCTTCTGCGACTCTGTGTAAGTTACCCATGAAACCCTGACGACAAGACGCCCGTGTGGGTTCCCTGGGCACCAGGACGCCCCGGGGAGGAGGCGGGGCAGCAGGCACGAGGGGCCTGCGCGGGCCGAGCCACGGGCTGGGTCTGAGGCCACCGTGGCAGCGGGCAGGCCCCCCCCACCCGGCACCCAGCCCAGCCGTACCTCCACTTGGACATCCTCCCAGCTGTCCAGGCGCACGGACTTCACCTTACTGACGTGGGGGATGTTCCGGTGAATCCCAGAGCAGCTCAGACAGATGAACACCCCCAGGGTGTACGAGGCCCAGTCAGGATCTGCAAGACAAGGCCAGACGTCAGCGGGGCCGGCAGACCCCCAGGGTCTCCCCTGAGACGGGGGCACTGCACCACGGCCTACAGGCCTGCACGCCCACCCTCCTTTCTGGGCTTCATTTCCTCACTGGAGTGATGGGAGGAGAATGGGGTCTGAAGGCCCCGAGCAGGGGTCCTGGCCGCCCCCACAAAAGAGCAGCCCCCCGTCGTCCCAGGGACCCTCCGTCATCCCAGCCACCCCCACAAAGGACCAGCCCCCTGTCATCCCAGAAACCCCCCGTCATGCTAGCTGTCCCCTGAGGGCCCCAGGGGAGAGACTGGAAGCCGGGAGCCTGGGCTCCGGCCCCAGACCCGCGGCACAGGCGGTACACGGAACAGACACGGTGCGGGAGGAGGATGGCTGTGTTTCCACGAGGGCCCTCAACCCGGCCCCTGCAGACTCTCCGCTGGGGGCTCGGGGGCTGGGGGCATGGCTGAGCCCCAACCCCTAATAAGGGCCTCTGGCCACTGACAGAGCGGGTGGCTGCGGGAAGGGGCTCCTGCTGCAGCTGGGGCAACGGGTTGGGGGGAGAGTGCCTGGCCTGGGGACAGGGTCTGGCTCTCTGAGGCCACCAGGAGCCCGGCCCTGACCTCCCCCCGCACGTCGGCGGGTCCCAAGCAGAGCCGGTGCGGGGGCGGCCCAGACCTGAGGCCTCAGCCAGCTCAGAAGGCCATGAGCGGGGGCCCCATCCTCCCCACACCCACCGTCCACACCCAGCTTCCTGTCCGCTGCCCACATCCCCCAGCTGCACCTCTGCCTGTGGGGCCCACAGACATCACGTCAGTTCTCCGGGTGGAACCCCGGGGACTTCTCCAGCCGGAGGGTGGCACCCCAGGCACAGCCCCTGTGCCTCCAGGTCCCACTCAGCTGTGACCCCCAGGCCTCCGTGACCACCCGCTGGGCCCCGGCAATTGCTGGGGGGGACAGGCCCCACCCCACGGCCCCCACCGCAACCCAGGAAGGTGCTCTGGTGGCAAGAGACTTCCCACGGACAGAACCAAGCTTCCAAGCTCCTGGGCCCCCGGGCGTGTGGGGACCCCCGGCGCAGACACAGCGGGCTTAGGGAGGGAGGAGAACGCCACGACCCCCGGCTCTGAGCCTCCCGGGGAGCGGTGGGAGGAAACACTGTGCGTCAGGGACCCCCAGATGACCTCCAAGCCAGGGTTCCTGGACAGAAGAGCCCCACCCACGAGCACTCTCTACCGGCTGGTGGGACCATCTGCAGGAAGTGACGCGCCCCCCAACGGCCCTGGGGCCTCAGAGCTCTCCGCGAGCGTCACCGGGCCCAGCCCACACGGCCACCGTGCCCCCACCCTGGGTCCAGGAGCGCACCCTCCACGCCAAAGTGTGGCCCCCGCAGGGAATGAGGAAACCGGGAGGGGAGGCCAGCAGGCCCGCCGGCACGTGCAGGTGGACGATGTGCACCGGGGCCCTCGTGGGGAGCCCACGTGCACGGGGCGGGGGCGGGTGAGGGCCAGGCTCCCTCGCCTGAGCGCCCGCCTGGCCTCCCTCTGGGACCTGGCCCAGGAGAGCTCATGGCCCCGCGGCTCCATCACACCTGCCGCAGAGCCTTTCGGGGTGATGGTGGCCACTTTTTCACACTCAAAAGGGCTCCCTTTACCCTCTGCAGATCACACCCGAGAAAGTGCCATTTGTGTGTTGAAAACCCCAGCCCCGTCCCAACAGAGAGAGAAGCAGGAAGGTTGGGCCTGAAGGGTTGGCGGCTCCTGTGTCCTCCTGGACGGGCATCGGGCAGCTGGGCCTGGAGGAGCAGCCGCAGGCGCGTACCAGCCTCCCCAGGACCCCCACACCTGCTCGGGACGCAGTGCCAGCTGCTGGGGCCCTGGGGTCCGCAGCCTGCTCACCCTCGCTGGCCACGTTGCCGGGCTGCGGCCCCGCCTCCCGCTGCGGCTGCACCAAAGCCCAGGGAGGGTCCCTGGGGTCACGCAGCAGCGGGCAGCTGGCCCGGGTCTCCCAGAACCACCTTCCTGATTCAGAGCGGGCGGGTGCCAGGAGGGTACACCGGCCAGCGTCCACAGGGGCCCCCGCCCAGTGCCCAGGCCGTGAGGAAGCCCGTCCTCATCTCGGGAGCAGACGGCTCCTGCCCTCCTCCTGCCTGGGGTCCCCTGGCGGCGCCGGGGCAGGGAGATGGTTTTGAGTTAGTTGGAGGCAGGGGTGTCTCAGCCAGAAGCCTCCACACTGCAGCCTGTGGAGCACACGGTCCGCCTGCAGGAGTGCCCCTCCATGTGCCCCCACCTCTGGGCGGAGAGGCACTGGCCGCCCCGCCTGCCCGCAGCACGGGCGCTCAAGCCGCCCGCCGGCCGGGTGCGTGCCTGTGTGCCCGCTCACTGAGGACGGCTTCAAGCCCTCCAGGCGGAGCGCAGGACATCCCTGGGGGGCCCGGGAAGGCGCTCCAGTCAGGTGATTGAAGGAAGGGTTCAGACCCTGGGGGGAGAATTCTGGGGGTGACTGAACAGCAGACTAAGGCCTCGGGGGTCAGAAGAGGGACTGCCCCAGCCCCCCGAAGCCACCAGAACAGGAAGTGGAGACGAGCGGGTGTGCAGCTGTTGAGGTGAGCCGGCACTCTGTAGCCCAGCTGGGCATAACTGATGACCACTTCCGGGCCGTCTGGGCGTCTGCTCTTCAGCAGATCAGCAAGTCACTCACCCAGCCCTTCCCTCCTCCTGGAAGCAGCCTCTCAGCACAGTCTCCTGGGGGGGCTCGATGCCCACCCTGCGGCCAAAAGCCTAGGCAGGGCGTGGGGGCGGTTGTGGGAGGGGTGGCCTTCAGCTCCCGGGGGCGGCTGTGCGCCCACGCCAGCACCAGGAGACGGCGCCGGGGCTGGGGTGTGCGCGTCCGTGCAAGAGCCTCACACTCTGAGCCCCAGGGTGGAGGGCACAGGGCGGGAGAGCAGTCGGGCGCCCCGGCACCAGCCCCGCAGTCCCAAGCAGAGGACCCCACCCCCGGCCCAGGCTCTGCTCTGGGGGCACGCCCCACCCAGCCCCAAGGGCGAGGGGCTGTCCTGCCCCTCTGCACACCCAGGATGCAGGGACCCCCTTCCCGACGGCCTGAACTCAGCCACCAGGACCTGTGTCCCCAGCAGAAGCCGTGGGTCAGCAGCTCTGGCCGAGGGCACAGCCAGGGTGGGCGGGGCGCAGGGCCCTGTGGCAGAGGGGTGGGAGCAGGGCCGGGCCTGAGCCCCCCGCACCCGTCCCGGGCCTTGCAAACAGCAGGGCTGCCCTGTGCTTCTCCAGGCTCCTGCACAGGGGTGGCCAGGCCCGTGGTCAGGCAGACTCTGCCCCGCACCCCGCTTTCCTGCCCCCCCAGCTGCCCCTCCTGCCTTGTCTTCTCCTGGACACTCCGCGTGACTCAGGCCCCTGGCTTTTCCAGGGCAGGTGAGACACGTCCTGGGGCTGAGGCAGGGGGAGCAGGTATGCGGGGGACGCCGCAGAGGGACTCAGTGTTGCCAGAGCCCATGGCCCAGCTCCAGGGCCTCTGCCCCAGCAAGGCCACGGGCTGCAGCGCGGAGGGCTAAGCTCTTGAGGGGACAGCTGGGGGGCCCAAGGGGCATCGAGGCAGGGGGCGGGCGCTGGCCTCGGGGGGTGCACTGCCCACGCCCATCGCAGGCGCCCCCTGCTCAGCCGCTGGGGGTCCACCCTCGCCTCCCACTGGAGCCCGAGCTCTGGGCGGGGGCTGGTGCTCCGTCACTAAAGATGGCACTGCATACAGCAGGCGCTCAGCGCCTGTCTGCGGCCACACCTTCGCCTCTCCTCCTGCCCAGTCCCCAGAGACGCAAGCAGTGGACCCGGGCCTGGCGTGGCCTCCCCGCCTAGCCCCCACTCCCTTCTCTCTCGGGCCTGTCTCTCCAGCTCTCAGATCGCCCCCAACAGCGGGCAGACCCAGCGGTCAGAGTCCCTCTCAGGCCCGAGGGCCCCTCGCCTCCCAGCCGCCCCTCCGCCGCTCCCCGGATGCCCTCTGAGACCCTGGCCTCCCTGGCACCAAGCCCAGCCCTCCTGGACCGGGCACCGCCCTGGGTCCCCTGCCCACAGCCCCCGAGGCCACATGCACACCCCGCCAGGCCTCCGGCTTCCCATCTGGGCTCGTGGCTCTAAAGCCCAAGATCTGAGCTCGACGGAGGCAGTGGTCACGCAACCAGGGAACGTCCTAAAGGCCGGGAAGTCTTCCCTTTCCACGGTCAGCTCTGCCTCGCATGAATCTCGCCGCAGTGAAGGTGAAGGAAAGCGAACGGGGAAGCAGCCTCTGCCGCTTCGGCCGCCCCCGCCCCTGCCCTTTCTGCTTCAGAACCTCCATGAGCGCAGGGCCTCTCCACTGCAGTCCCGTCCCACAGCGTCCCCAGGGCCCGGACGGCTGCCCCTTTTCCTGCAGCCACTCCCGCCCTTCTGCCCACACCCAGCTCCTCAGACTTCCAAGCATTTCCAAGCTTTGACGGTCCCCCCACACCCCTCACTCCTCGACGGCCTCCGGCCTCCACCTGCCACCCCGCCCCGCGGAGGCCCTGCTGCACCGCCATCACCCGAGCCTGCGTCCCGGCGCTGGACACATGGGCTCTCCGCTTCCCCCTGCAACAAGCAAGGCTCGTGGGGGCCCGGCGGGTTCCCGCTTCGGGAGGAGCCGCGCCCCCGTGACTGGGGGACCCTGGCAGCCACGGTTACCCACCTGTGCCCAGGTCATACCCCAGCAACAGCCTCCCCCAGTGAGCGCCCCCAGCCCGGCTGCACCCACTTGCTCCTGTCACTGAGGCCACTCACCCCCACTCGGGGGCCCCATTCTGACCGCTGCCTGGCCAAGGCTCCACGGCCCCCGTTGCCCAATGCCGCCCACTCTCACGCACCAAGGCCTGTGCCAGGGGGCCCATGGGCAGGGGAAGCCCAGCCCAAAGAGGCACGCTGGTTAACCCAGGGCTGCGCGCGGGCAGGCAGGCGGGGGCATGCGGCCCCTCCAT